TCTTTCCCTGCTCCTTGAAGTTATTGTTGATTGTACAGCCAAACAATAAACAATACATCCAAAAATTGCACTAAAGTTCTTGCTGATGCTTGTAAAGGGTACATATTTAATAACGGTTTGACATGTGCGTAGCTATGAATGCAGTGTGCATAGACCAAGGAGACCTGAGAGAGAAGTAGTTGGTGCTGTAGTTGAACAAAACTTGAATGGAGTTTTCAAACATCTCTCTCTCTCTTTTTCAGAGCTTCAGTGATAAAAAGCATTAAAAAAAGACTTGCTAAGGCTAAAATGTTATTCCCTAAAGTACTGTCTTTTGAGTATGACTATAAAGAGAAGTGAAGGAGAAAGGGGGAATACCCATAATTAGCAAGATGTTTTTCCCCATAATTCAGCATCTATGTTCAAAATATATTTGGCTTGATTTGCTGTTTTAAGGCAAGAAAAGTCCTTTGCAAATAATTGCTCCTCATATGAGTAGTTTCCATAATAAATGAAATATTTTAGTGAGCTCTGCACTTTCTGCTCAATGGAGGCAGAGCAGTCTCCTGGGGGAAAAAACTTTTTAGGAAGAACTGAAATGTGCAGACAATAAACTGACTGCTTGGTTATACTGAAAGAAAATGCTTTAAAATGAAACTTAGGAAATGCTTAAGTGTACACTATGAGGTCTGCTTTGATCTTGATATCTGGCATGAAGACTTCCATCTTTGCAAAGAGTCCTAGCTATTGGTAGAAACAAATTTATTTTCAGGAGTAAAAATGAGTCAAATATGATTATGAAGTCAAAAATAAGTAGAAAGACTGAGACAGGACATTTGTCCCAAAGGATTTCATTTTGTATCAAAAAAAGAGTCTTTTTATATATCAAAAGAACTAACAGTAAGATGCATGTTGGTCTCAGAGGTACCTAACTAAGGCTTAGGAAGAATTGAGGTGCCTATATTCAAACGAGCAGTCAAATTGCTTCTGCTTCAGCGGTCACAAATTCAGTAAGTGCCTCCACTTTGGAATGCAAAGGTCTCTAGTGGGTTGCTGCACTGTGGTAGCTCAGAAGCTATTCACCTTGAGTACCTGGTGCTAACTCCCACTTCTACTGTCATGTGAACCTGAATGGTGCTGAAGAAGCTCCTAAATCCCACCTGAATTCCCACACAGGCCCAATCCATTAGGCATGTACCAAGGATGCCTAACTTATATTAACAGCATTGAGTTCAGCACGGAGCTCAACAGCCACAGTGACTTTACTCAAAAACATGGCTGGAAGATGAAGTGATGGTGACCACCTTTTCCATAATAACCATATGTTTAGTGAAGTCACTTAAGCAACAGCCCAGGTCCATTTATATATTTTATATTAGAAGTCACTCATTAAAAAAACAGAAATAAGCTGGGAGCTGGAACTAGAATGAAGGTCTCCATTTCTTAGCTGAGTGCTTTCACCACTGTGCTATATAGGTGGTTCCTCTTGTTTAGTTCCCTTCTGCGCTCATGACGTTTTCAGTTACAGCGGCACAAAGGAGGCGTGCATAATGTTTCCACCTAAGCTGCTGTAGTGGTGACTAGGGCAATGTCCTGGGAAATGGGTTATACAGGTTTGAATTTAAAGAGAGCCTAAAATCCGGATCTCCCACTTCCTAGTTGAGTCTTCTAACCACTAGACAGTCATGCCAAAGGTGGGCAGCACTTCCAGAAGTTGAC